TTGGCAGGGGGGACCGGGGAGCTGTAGGTGGGGGCACTTTCTTTTTGGGTGCCCCAAATAAATCATCAGCGTCGTCCTCGTCTGCTGCCCCAAACAGATCACCAGCTGAAAGTTCAATATGACAGAAAACTGACACTGTAGTGACACTGTCAGACATGCTGTGTGTGCTTTGTCATGTCAGTGTCATGTAGGAAACATCATAGCCAGTGTCATGTAGGAAACACCATGTCAGTGTCATGTAGGAAACATCATAGCCAGTGTCATGTAAGAAACACCATGTCATGTAGGAAACATCATGTCAGTGTCATGTAGGAAACATCATGTCAGTGTCATGTAGGAAACACCATGTCAGTGTAATGTAGAAAACACCATGTCAGTGTAATGTAGGAAACACCATGTCAGTGTAATGTAGGAAACACCATGTCAGTGTCATGTAGGAAACACCATGTCAGTGTCATGTAGGAAACACCATGTCAGTGTCATGTAGGAAACATCATGTCATGTAGGAAACATCATGTCAGTGTCATGTAGGAAACATCATAGCCAGTGTCATGTAGGAAACACCATGTCATGTAGGAAACATCATGTCAGTGTCATGTAGGAAACACCATGTCAGTGTCATGTAGGAAACATCATGTCAGTGTCATGTAGGAAACACCATGTCAGTGTCATGTAGGAAACACCATGTCAGTGTCATGTAGGAAACACCATGTCAGTGTCATGTAGGAAACACCATGTCAGTGTCATGTAGGAAACACCATGTCAGTGTCATGTAGGAAACACCATGTCAGTGTCATGTAGGAAACACCATGTCAGCCTTGTTGTATGTCACCAGAAGCTTATCCATTGTTTTGTCTTCTTCTTCTGCATGGATGGATGGATGGATGGATAGATGGATGGATGGCTGGATGGATGGCTGGATGGATGGCTGGCTGGATGGATGGATGCATGGATGGATGGATGGATGGATGGATGGATGGATGGATGCATAGATGTATGGATGGATAGATGCATGGATGGGTGGATGGCTGGATGGATGGATGGATGCATAGATGTATGGATGGATGTATGCGGGGTGTGTGTGTATGTACGTGAGTGTATGTGTGAGCGGGCACATGCACATATATTTACCATCCATGCTTGTGTGTTTTGTCTTTGATATTCAATATACTATCAGAAGAATGTACGATCAGACAGTTACTGATACACTTGGGATTGGAACTCTTCACTTGCTGCTGAAGATAGGGACTGAGCGCATATGGGGGTGTCCCAAGATGCTGTGATATCGATTCTTGATTTAACATTAATATTATGCACATTGTTATATTAGCACAACATGCTTTATTGATAAAATACAACTGCTGTGTGAAAAATGGGTGGTTGGAGGGGCTGAATGTAAGGCAGGCCTGCGTGCCCACTTTGTGAACCTTTGAAAATAAAGTTTGTTCGCTCATTCTTCTTAGTGTTCATTGGCTGTAAGCTCCAGTGGAAAGTTTTGGTTGTTCATCCATTTCTGGACTTTGGTTTTCTGTCAAAACTTTAGTTTTGTGTTTTACAGATCAGGTTTATTTGTATGCAGACTGTTAGTTCCTCAAATCTTTGGCAGATGCACTTAGAAGGAAACTTCCTTAACTGCCCTGTATGACATGCTTGTTAGGGAGGCAGTGGGTCTATAAATTTTCCGCCCAGAATTTGCGCAGAAGTCATTAACTGTTGCCGCTTTGAGAAATCCTAGCACTCTGCTGTCGGTCAGTGTATTCAGAACTCACACAGAGACAGCTGTCTTGTTAGGGGGTCAAGATGGAATCAGAGGATCTAAAAAGAGTTAGGGAAAGAGAAGAAAGGAGAGTCAAGCAAGATAGAAAAGTCGGATCTGGGGTCATGGTTCTACAAAAGGTCAGGAAAAGCCAGGTCAAGTCTGAAAGCACCAGATGACAATCAGACTAAGGGGTCAGGGACTAGAGAGGCATTCAGGGACTAGAGCATCAGGGTTCTACAAAGGTCAGGGAAGCAAAGCATCAGGGATGACCATCAGCTGACTGACTAGAGCATCAGGGATGACCATCAGCTGACTAGAGCATCAGGGATGACCATCAGCTGACTGACTAGAGCATCAGGGATGACCATCAGCTGACTGACTAGAGCATCAGGGATGACCATCAGCTGACTGACTAGAGCATCAGGGATGACCATCAGCTGACTGACTAGAGCATCAGGGATGACCATCAGCTGACTGACTAGAGCATCAGGGATGACCATCAGCTGACTAGAGCATCAAGGATGGTCTCTACACCCCCCACAGAAGCAGACACTCAGTGTGCTTGCTAGCAAAGAAACTTACGAGGTTTTGGCTTGGTGTTGTCTGATAAGGACAGTTTTGGTTTTGGTTTCGGTGCAGTCTTTGGGGCTGGTTCTGGCGGCGAGGGTTTCTCTCGGTTCTTCTCATCATCATCATCCTCTTCTGGTTCCTCCACTTTTCTTTTCTTGAGGAACATGGAAGGGTCAAGGCCCCCGAACATGGAGACAGCCCCAGCTGGTTTCTTGGGTTTGGTGGGTTCTTGTTTTGGTGCCTCAACATCTTCCTGGGTGAGAGATGAAAGGATTCAGATCAAACATGAGATTTGAAGTCATTGGTAAGTGTAAGGATCAAATGTTGAGATAATAAAGGGTAGAGATCAAACATGAGCTTTGGAGTCAATGGTAAGAGTAAGGATCAAATGTTGAGATATGAAAGGGTTGAGATCAAACATGAACTTTGGGGCATTTTGTGGCTGAATGTTTTAGTCCTGTGAACATCATCTACCGTATCTTCAATAAACTCTGCATATTGTGACATTTCTGGTCGACAACAAGGGAGGGAAACAAGGCAGCATAATATCAATAAGAATGTGCCGAATGGTAAATAAATATAACTATATATTAGAAGTAACATAAAACGTATAAATTTGTAACAACAAATACTTCAAAAGAGGACGTCTGTACATGGTTGGTACGGGGTCCCACTTATAAATAAGCCCCCTCCTACAGTTGCGGGGGTGGGGGGAGGGGGGGGGGGGGTGGCCAAGACATCTGAACTCCCATGGTTCAATCACTCTGCAAGAGGTGATACCTTACCTTGACAGGTGCATCCACTGATTCACCTGTGGTGACCCCTTCTTCTTTGTTCTCATCAGACTTTGGTGAAATTAGGTCAGAGTCTTTATTGTCATCCTCATCTGAAGAAAAGAAAAAATAGCAGCAGGAAAAAACAGAGCAGGTCAAACAAAGAGCAGGTCAAACAGAGAGCAGGTCAAACAGAGAGCAGGTCAAACAGAGAGCAGGTCAAACAGAGAGCAGGTCAAACAGAGAGCAGGTCAAACAGAGAGCAGGTCAAACGGAGAGCAGGTCAAACAGAGAGCAGGTCAAACAGAGAGCAGGTTAAACAGAGAGCAGGTCAAACAGAGAGCAGGTCAAAGAGAGAGCAGGTCAAACAGAGAGCAGTCAAACAGAGAGCAGGTCAAACAGAGAGCAGGTCAAACGGAGAGCAGGTCAAACGGAGAGCAGGTCAAACAGAGAGCAGGTCAAACAGAGAGCAGGTCAAATGGAGAGCAGGTCAAACAGAGAGCAGGTCAAACAGAGAGCAGGTCAAACGGAGAGCAGGTCAAACATGTTGAGAAGACATTGGTCAGAAATATCCCAGGAAACTGCAATGTGTAAACTGTCTCACTGAAAGTAACCAATATCTCATTTAGATTGTATTCATTAAAATAGTGTTGTCGATATGAAAATAAAGGCAAAGGAAATGTAAGGAGGAGGAGGATGTGAAAGAGAAAAAGGATGAGGAGGAGAAACAGCAACAGAATTACAATTTACAGTGCTCAAAATAATGACACAAAATCTGCAATACAGGTTTACACAAAAATGCTGAAAATTAGATGTTCCATAGACTAGTATCTGGCCAGGATGTTCCACTGACTAGTATCTGGCCAGGATGTTCCACAGACTAGTGTCTGGCCAGGATGTTCCACAGACTAGTATCTGCCCAGGATGATCCACTGACTAGTATCTGCCCAGGATGTTCCACAGACTAGTGTCTGGCCAGGATGTTCCACAGACTAGTATCTGCCCAGGATGTTCCACTGACTAGTATCTGGCCAAGATGTTCCACTGACTAGTATCTGCCCAGGATGTTCCACAGACTAATGTCTGGCCAGGATGTTCTACAGACTAGTATCTGCCCAGGATGTTCCACAGACTAGTATCTGGCCAGGATGTTCCACAGACTAGTGTCTGGCCAAGATGTTCCATAGACTAGTATCTGGCCAGGATGTTCCACAGACTAGTATCTGGCCAAGATGTTCCAATGACTAGTATCTGCACAGGATGTTCCACAGACTAGTGTCTGGCCAGGATGTTCCACAGACTAGTATCTGCCCAGGATGTTCCACAGACTAGTGTCTGGCCAGGATTTTCCACTGACTAGTATCTGCCCAGGATGTTCCACAGACTAGTGTCTGGCCAGGATGTTCCACAGACTAGTATCTGCCCAGGATGTTCCACAGACTAGTATCTGCCCAGGATGTTCCACAGACTAGTATCTGCCCAGGATGTTCCACAGACTAGTATCTGGCCAGGATATCCCACAGACTAATATTTGCACAGGATGTTCCACAGACTAGTATCTGTCCAGGATGTTCCACAGACTAGTATCTGGCCAGGATATCCCACAGACTAGTATCTGGCCAGGATGTTCCACAGACTAGTATCTGCCCAGGATGTTCCACAGACTAGTATCTGCCCAGGATGTTCCACAGACTAGTATCTGCCCAGGATGTTCCACAGACTAGTATCTGGCCAGGATATCCCACAGACTAATATTTGCCCAGGATGTTCCACAGACTAGTGTCTGCCCAGAATATCACACAAACTAGTCTCTGCCCAGACTGTCCCATAGACTAGTGTCTAACCAGGATGCTAAATTTACGCAGAAATATCTTGGTGGCTATAAACAATACATGCACAGACAATACAAACCCACCAGCTTTTGGAGATTTGGACACTGGAGATTTGTCTTGTGGTGTTTCCTCTTTCACTGGTGTTTGTTTCTCTTCTTTATCTGCTGGTTTGTCATCTTGACCTTCATCTTTATCTTTCTCATCATCAGAAGCCGATGGAAGTCTTTTCTTTTTGAGGATGGCAGAAGGATCCAGGCCCCCAAACATGGAAACTGCCCCGGCGGGTTTCTTGGGTTTGCCCACATCCGGTTTGACTTCTTCCTCCTGGGGACAAAGAGATTCTCCATTATATCTAGGTGTAAACCACAACACAACATGCTAACCACCCTTTTAAGAAGAGAAGTAGAAGAAGAGGAATGTGCGTGTCATTTGACTAACCCTTGGTTGATATACATTTCTGTAATCTATGCTGTTATGGTTCAATGTCTGGATGTGAATTACGTGCACATTCCATAGATCTTGGCTCAAATGTGTGACAGTCTTGACTAATGATGTCATCTCTTTGATTTTAACCTTATATAAATGCACATGGTGGATACAGGTTAGACAAGTCAAGGCACTATCACAGTCAAGAATCAACATGAAAATAAACACAAACTAATACTGATCTTTATATCTACATGAAAGAAAGGCAGAACAAACTAATACTGATCTTTATATCTACATGAAAGAAAGGCAGAACAAACTAATACTGATCTTTATATCTACATGAAAGAAAGGCAGAACAAACTAATACTGATCTTTAAATCTACATGAAAGAAAGGCAGAACAAACTAATACTGATCTTTATATCTACATGAAAGAAAGGCAGAACAAACTAATACTGATCTTTAAATCTACATGAAAGAAAGGCAGAACAAACTAATACTGATCTTTATATCTACATGAAGAAAGGCAGAACAAACTAATACTGATCTTTATATCTACATGAAAGAAAGGCAGAACAAACTAATACTGATCTTTATATCTACATGGAAGAAAGGCAGAACAAACTAATACTGATCTTTATATCTACATGAAAGAAAGGCAGAACAAACTAATACTGATCTTTATATCTACATGAAAGAAAGGCAGAACAAACTAATACTGATCTTTATATCTACATGGAAGAAAGGCAGAACAAACTAATACTGATCTTTATATCTACATGGAAGAAAGGCAGAACAAACTAATACTGATCTTTATATCTACATGGAAGAAAGGCAGAACAAACTAATACTGATCTTCATATCTACATGAAAGAAAGGCAGAACAAACTAATACTCATCTTTATATCTACATGGAAGAAAGGCAGAACAAACTAATACTGATCTTCATATCTACATGGAAGAAAGGCAGAACAAACTAATACTGATCTTCATATCTACATGAAAGAAAGGCAGAACAAACTAATACTGATCTTTATATCTACATGAAAGAAAGGCAGAACAAACTAATACTGATCTTTATATCTACATGAAAGAAAGGCAGAACAAACTAATACTGATCTTCATATCTACATGAAAGAAAGACATACAAACAACCACATGCAGACAGAACAAACTAATACTGATCTTTATATCTAACATGAAAGAAAGGCAGAACAAACTAATACTGATCTTTACATCTACATGGAAGAAAGGCAGAACAAACTAATACTGATCTTTATATCTACATGAAAGAAAGGCAGAACAAACTAATACTGATCTTTATATCTACATGAAAGAAAGGCAGAACAAACTAATACTGATCTTTATATCTACATGAAAGAAAGGCAAAACAAACTAATACTGATCTTTATATCTACATGAAAGAAAGGCAGAACAAACTAATACTGATCTTTATATCTACATGAAAGAAAGGCAGAACAAACTAATGTTGACCTTCAAATCTTTAAGAAAACAAACACAAACACAAACACAGACCTTTAAATCTACATAAAAACAAAGACAGCAATAAACACAAATCTTTAAATCTACACACACACAAAAGCAAAGATAGACACAAGCGCAGACCTTTAAATATACAAAAAAGAAAAGAAAGACAAGACACAAAAACAGACCTTCAAATCTATATGAAAACAACAACATAAAAATTGACTTCAAATCTACAAGATAATGAAGACAGACAAACAAATAGACCAAATCTTCAAGAAAACAAAGACACAAAAACAAACTTTTAAATCCACATGAAAACAAAGATAGACATACAAACAGACCTTCAAATCCACATGAAAACAAAGATAGACATACAAACAGACCTTCAAATCCACATGAAAACAAAGATAGACATACACACAGACCTTCAAATCCACATGAAAACAACGATAGACATACAAACAGACCTTCAAATCCACATGAAAACAAAGATAGACATACACACAGACCTTCAAATCCACATGAAAACAAAGATAGACATACACACAGACCTTCAAATCCACATGAAAACAAAGATAGACATACACACAGACCTTCAAATCCACATGAAAACAAAGATAGACATACACACAGACCTTCAAATCCACATGAAAACAAAGATAGACATACACACAGACCTTCAAATCCTCATGAAAACAAAGATAGACATACAAACAGACCTTCAATTCCACATGAAAACAAAGATAGACATACAAACAGACCTTCAAATCCACATGAAAACAAAGATAGACATACAAACAGACCTTCAAATCCACATGAAAACAAAGATAGACATACACACAGACCTTCAAATCCACATGAAAACAACGATAGACATACAAACAGACCTTCAAATCCACATGAAAACAAAGATAGACATACACACAGACCTTCAGATCCACATGAAAACAAAGATAGACATACACACAGACCTTCAAATCCACATGAAAACAAAGATAGACATACACACAGACCTTCAAATCCACATGAAAACAAAGATAGACATACACACAGACCTTCAAATCCACATGAAAACAAAGATAGACATACACACAGACCTTCAAATCCTCATGAAAACAAAGATAGACATACAAACAGACCTTCAATTCCACATGAAAACAAAGATAGACATACAAACAGACCTTCAAATCCACATGAAAACAAAGATAGACATACAAAGATAGACATACAAACAGACCTTCAAATCTACATGAAAACAAAGATAGACATACAAACAGACCTTCAAATCCACATGAAAACAAAGATAGACATACAAACAGACCTTCAAATCCACATGAAAACAAAGATAGACATACAAACAGACCTTCAAATCCACATGAAAACAAAGATAGACATACAAACAGACCTTCAAATCCACATGAAAACAAAGATAGACATACAAACAGACCTTCAAATCTACCAAAACACAAAGCCAAACACAAACACAGACCTTTAAATCTACATAAAATCACAATAGACACAAGACAAACTGACCTTGGTCTCCATGGCACCCACCCACTCAGACTCTGTGACCTCTGCAAATAATTCAGATGGTAATTTAGAAGAGGGCAGTTTCTTTAAACCTCCATGTGAGAAGAGGTCATCATCACTATCACCACCAAACAAACTTGGTGTGTTTGGTTGGTTTGTTGGCGCTGTCTTCTTGCCCGGTAAAGTAGTAGTTGACTGGGGAGTGTCTTTGTCTTGTGAACTCTGTAAAATTAACATTAAAAACTTTTTATGTATTCCCTAGAAACTTGTAAAACTATCTGTTTATTTAATTATGACCTTATTCCGTTCTTTCAGCACTTTTCCATCCATTATGCTCTTCTAAGCTGACAAAACTTTTCCATTAATTCGCAAAACTTTTCCATTAATTCACAAAACTTTTTCATTAATTCACAAAACTTTTCCAATAATTCACAAAACTAATTATTCTCTCATGAATTCTTAAACTTAGTTTTTTCTTTTCTTTCTAAACTCTGTAGCCGCAGAAGGTTGCTTCTTGAGCACTTTAAACTGTTACTGTGTAAAAGTGTTCCAGCAATCATTAGTTAAAATAATAATCATCATCATCAATCAGCAAGTCCTTATAGAACGTCGCTCTCTTCACGGCATGTCTGAAAGTATTCCTTTACCTAGTCAGCTCTTCAGCCCCATGTGCTTTCAATGCAAATGAGTCTTTAATGTCCTGTATCTATCTTCGTAGTGGTTGACCCCTGCCTCGCTTTCTACAAACTGCACCCACTATCACTGTCTTTTCCAAGCCACCATGACGTCTGATGTAGCCAAAATACTTTGGGCCGGGGCACTGTTTATGAGCCAGTTCTCGTTTAACTCATGTAGGATGTCCATGTTTTTCCTCTTCTTGATCCGTGGTATTCTAAAAATTGTTCTGTAACATTTCCATTCAAAAGCTCCAGTCTTTTTCCTCAGTGACTGAGTGAGAGTCCAGGACTCACAACCGTAAGTTGCCACAGGAAAAATGAGTGATATCAAGATTTTGACTTAACCAATTTACTAGCACTTTGCCATAGGTTCTTCATGCTGTTTAATCTCAGCATTGCTAAAGCAAGTCTCCTTCTGACTTCTTTCGATCAGTCACCAAGAGCCCAAGTATTTTAAATCTGTGACATTTTATATTTCTTCATTTTTGATTGTGATATGTGGCTGGTGTGCTGTATTTACTGAAGACATTATGGTTTGTTTTTTTCAAATTCAGAAAAAGATTCACTTCTTCGCTGTTTTTTCTAAACCTTGTACACTATGGGAAAGGAGAACTGTGTCATCTGCATATCTGATTTCTAGGATAGGATTACCTCAAATAAAACTAATAATAATGAAGTAATTTTACTAATGAACAATACTATATGTCTATAACCCCGGGTAGAAGAGGAAAGATTAAACAAAACTACCAAATATGACTACAACCCAGGGTAGAAGAGGAAAGATTAAACAAAACTACCAAATATATCTAAAACCCCGGGTAGAAGAGGAAAGATTAAACAAAACTACCAAATATGTCTAAAACCCCGGGTAGAAGAGGAAAGATTAAACAAAATCATAAAGAATATTTCTGCCAAAATGATCTATTCCAGTGTTCTTCAACTTGTGGGCCATGGCTCACTGGTGGGCCACTAAAAGTTTTGTCCAATGACATAATGAGGAACAGCAGGTAGTTTTTCTCTTCCAGGATTGCAGTATGTAGAACAAGTACAAATCCTGCAACCCCCCACCCAGCTGAAGAGATTTTCTAACTTATGAGCAGCAGCAAATGCCACATTAGCTGAAAACTATAAATTTGTGTCATCA